TCATGTTTGGTAAAGTGGAGAGTCAGAGAAAAAGAAGAAGCCCCTCCCCACTCCCCACCCCCCAGCAAGATGGATTGGCAAAGTGGTAGCATCAGTGGGCTCAAGCGTGGAAACAATAGTTAGGTTGGCCCACAATCGGGCAGTGTTTCGGCCTTCTGTTCATAAGGTCACTATGGGTCAGTGTCAATTCGATGACACCTAACAACAACAACAGCAGGACTGGGCAATGTTTCATTCTGTTGTACAAGGGATTTGCCACAAGTGCTGTGGGCTCGATGGCAAATCACAAGTAATAAGAAAAATGTTACTTTCTCTTCCTGCCTCAGTTCTTAGGATGCTAACAAGGTTATTCTTATGCCTAGTGTCCAACAGCTGCCTGAACCAGTTCTTTACTCTAGGTTATAAATAAAGAAACAATAGAAATAAACAAAACTAAAGGGCAGGAGACATTGTAAGGTTTTTAGAAACTGTGGAACTGATCCAAACAACATTAGCAGGAGTTATGAGGAGCTATGGTAGCGTAGTGGTTACGAATCGGGCTGTGAACCTCAAGGTCAGCAGTTCGAAACTACCAGTTGCTCCGCGGGAGAAAGATGAGGCTTTCTGCTCCCGTAAAGATTTACAGCCTTGGAAACTCTGTTCAGGGTCGCTATGAGTCAGAATCGACTCGACGGCACTTAACAACAACAACAACAATGAAGAGTTACTACAAATTTGTGTGATCTTAATTTCATAAAAGTACATTATGTCCTTAAAGAAAATACAAACCAACCTTGTATAGAGGGACAAAAACAGGAAGAAATATTCCAAAATTGTACTTAAGTAGTTACCAAATAGGAACTAATTAGAAAAGTAGGAAGGGGAGAGAAGAGAAAGAACCATAATTTTATAATCATTCTTTCCCTACTGGAGTGAGAATGAATGGAAACCTCAAATATTTTTTTAATACCCTTATTTCTTTTTTTTAGGATTAATTAACTAAAAATAACCCTGCTGCAACTGAGTTAATTCTGATTCATGAAGACTCCATATTCTGCAGAGTAATATAGAGTTCCATATGGTTTTCTCATATACAATCTTTACAGAAGCCGATCACCAAGCATTTATTTCATGACACCACTAAGTGGATTTGAATTCCAAACCTTTCATTTAATAGCCCAGTGCTTAATCATTTGAACCGCTCCCAGGCACACCTGCAA